AATGAAGTCTTCACAGAAAGTATATGTATAACTTAACAAAAGTCCTGTGTTCATTGGTCATGATGATTTTATTTAATAGTATTAACCCCCTCCCCCAAAAAGGAAGAAAAAAGACAGAAAATGAAAGAAATGGAAGATTCTTCTCTGTTTACCAGTCATTGTATTCTAAATAAGTGTTACTTTTTTTATAACTAACTTAAGCTTTTGTTTTTTTAGGCTAAGAATCTTGAGAGAAGAAAAATTTGCCTCAGTTTCTATAGAAAATCAATGAACCAAGAAAATTTGGTGCACCTTCTCTAAAGAAAATCTGGGTATACAATAACTTCACAGACTTGGCTGAGGGTTTATACCCACATTGGTCACCGGACTCTGCCTCCTGGTACTGAACCTGTTTGGAACTTTTCTCATGTGGATCTAAGGGGAATGCTTGATTATGGCTGCTGTTGTCCAACAGAACGACCTAGTATTTGAATTTGCTAGTAACGTCATGGAGAATGAACAACAGGTATGAGACCAGAGAAAATTAGATTTTAATGACTTTATTGTGATTTTCCACTTGTGTACAAAATACTTTAAGAGGGGCTGGCAGATGGCGTGGTGGTTAAGGGCATTGGTCTCCCACATGCCTGACTGCAGTTTGAGTCCCAGACTTGGCAGCTTGCTTTCTTACTTTCTCTCTCTTGCTTTCTTTCTTTCTCTAACTTTCTCTCTCCCTCTCTCTATTCCTTTCTGGTCAAATCTAAAAAAAAAAAAAAAAAAAAGAGCTAAGTAAAATAATAAAAAAAATATTTCAAAAGACAATAGAAATGCTATCAAAGTAAAAATTTAGAAATTAAATATTTGGAGGTAACATGATCTTATGTTGTAAGTTATTCATTAGATATATATCTTATCCTTGGCCCTGTGGTAACAAAGAAGTAATACTTTGGGGTTCAGATTATTTTTCTGTAAAATGAGACTAACAATAAATGCCTTAAAGACTTATTTCAAATATTTTGAAAAGTTCTAGAGAACATACTTTTAATGTATCTGGTTAACTAACATTTATAGTAATGGACTGTTTCTTCAAGCAGATTTAATAATGTTAGCAGTGCCATAATCATATATCATTTCAGTCCAAAGCATGTGATTTTGAGGAAGTTACTTCTCTAGATCTAGATTTCAACATCTGTACAATGAGGAGATTGAACTGAAGAATTTCTCCATTGGCTTTCATTGAATTAATATAAGCTGTGCTGTGACCACCATATGGCATAATAGTTAAGTTGCTGGACTCCCAAGTGGTCGACTGTGGTTCTAGTCCCAGACCTGGTGACTTAAATCTCAGGCTGGGTACTTGTGTGCGTGCGTGCACCCAAATTCCAGAGAGGAAAATGGAGGAGAAGGGATTGCGGCATGGCCATCCCCTGAGGGGGTAAGTTCTTGATTTCTATTTCTCTGTCTTCCTCTCGAGCACCTGTACACTACAGCCAGAAAAAAAAAAAAAATAAAATAAGGGCTGTGCAAATTACTGTTTTCATAATATAAAAAAGATTGAAGAGGTACTAAGTAAAGGACCTAAGATTAATTCTAGACTCTTCCCCTAAAAACAGGGCTCAGGGAGGCTTAAAGGACCTAAGATTAATTCTAGACTCTTCCCCTAAAAACAGGGCTCAGGGAGGCTAAGTCTCCTGGGAGTTTATAGTTTACTTCATTTGAAATAGGTTAACGTAATGGCTATGTCACTGGACTTCCATGTAGTTGACTGCGGTTTGAGTCCCAGACCTGGTGGCTTAAACTCACGCCGGGCGCATGTGTGTATGTACCCAAGATCCCGAGAGGAGAATGGAGAAGGGACTCTGGCATGGCCATCCCCCTGGGGGATGATTTCTCACTCTCTCTCTCTCCGTCTCTCTAGTGAATGCACTCTCCCTAAAGCAAAAACTTCTCAAAAAAAACAAAACAAAACAAAAGGCGCACGCGCATACACACACACACACACACACACACACACACACACACACACACAAAGGGACCAGCACTTAACATAATGGCTATGTCGCTGGACTCCCATGTAGTCAACTTGCTGTTTGAGTCTTTTTCTGGCGAGCGTATGCGCCCTGTAGCAAAAACCTCTCAAAAAAAAAAAAGAGGTTATATGGAAAGTAAGATATCATGCCTCTGAAATTGTGTATGTGTTGGAAAGATTCAATGTAGTAAGAAAAATATTTAAAGAACTGTCATATTTAAAATACTTCTGAAACAGTTGATTTAGTAGTTGTAATAGCCTAATTTTAAATGCTTACCTATAATAATAGGCCAATAATAATGTGTCGTGTTTTTACTCTAGAAGCATAGTTGCTATAGCTAATAAAATTGATTCTTGCTAGGGCCAGCAGGTTGTGTGGTGGTTAAGGCACTGGACTCTCACATAGCTAGCCATGGTTTGAGTCCTGGATCTGGCGGCATGCTTTCTCACTTTTCCTTTCTCTCCAGTAAAATAAAAATAAATAAATAAATCTTAAAAAAATAAAAAGGTTCTTCCTTTTGGAAGGACATACTACTTTCTTGTCTGTTTATAATATCCATCAAAGTGCAGAAATAACAAGTTTGTAGATAAACCTATAAAGGTTGATAATTTAGAATTAGGTGCTTTAAAATCAAGATGAGCTTTGACTAGGGAGGGAAAAGTTTTGAGGAAGAGGATATCTTGACCTTAATTAAATTAAAAATATATTAATTAATAGTGATCCAGATTTAATCTAGAGATCGTAGAAAAGTTTTTTTTTTTTTAAGAGAGATTTTTGCCATAGGTGACGTGTGCTCAGTAGAGAGACCGAGAGACAGACAACGAGAAATCACCCTTGAGAGGGGATGGCCATGCCACAATCCCTTCTTCACTCTCCTCTTGGGATTGTGGGCACGGATGCATATACACCCAGTGTGAGTTTTTAAATCTCTGGATTTGGGACTTGAACCACAGTCAACCACCTGGGAGTCCAGCAACATAACCATTATGCCATCTGCTGGTCCCAAAAAAGATATTTCTAGGAGGAAAAAAATGTTTTGAATTTAAGACAGGATGTTTAGGTGTTTGTTAAGGTTTGAAAAGCTGTTTACTGTGCAGATCCTCTCAGAGGAAAGATCCCGTTACAGGTTCCAGGCTTGATGTGGTGAGGTTTGATGTCAGATGTGGCACATAGACAGAACTCTCAGCCAGCCACTGGTATGCTCTAGCACACTCTAGTGACCATGAAAAATGCATTTTACATTTTGGTACTGTATTCATACATCTGTATAGCCCTTTAAACATTTTCTAGGGACCAGCAGGTGGCATAATGGCTATGTCGCTGGACTCCCATGTAGTTGACTGTGGTTTGAATCCTGCACCTGGTGGCTTAAACTCACAGCGGGTACGTGTGTCTGTGTGCCTAAGATCCTGAGAAGAGAATGGAGAAGGGATTGTGGCATGGCCATTCCCCCTGGCGGGTGACTTCTTGCTTTTTTTGTCTCTCTGTCTCTCTCACGAGTGCACACACTCTATAGCAAAAAAATAGTTTTCTAAACTTTTAATTACACTTATGATGTGCTTAGTTTATCTTTAGTTGTTATCTGGCTTAGAAAAGGATGTGTGCTATTGGCTTAATATTAATCAGCATGTACATACATGTATTTTTAAGATTTATTTATTTTTATTTTATTCTCAATAGAAAGCATGCATGAAAATAAAGACAGGGTTGGGGAGGAGGCACCCTTGATAGAATCTTGTCTTTAGCAGCCCTTAGTTTGTCAAAGACCTCCAATATGGGAGGATTTTTGGTACCCAGTGTGTTTCAGATTGACCTGGCAGGGGATCTGAACCACAGTTGGTCATGTGGCTTACAGCACTCCAGCTTGGCACACTGCTGATTGCACCACCAGGCTGGGCAAAGACTTGTCTTTTCATCTAATATGGTAAATCTCTATTAGTTTTGAGCGGGTGTTATAAGGACTTTACATTTCTTAACCTTGTGAGGTAAATAACTTGTATCTCCATTTTACAGTGAGGAAATTGAGACATGAAGAAGTTATATGACTTGCCTGAAATCATACAGTTAGTATTGTAAAAAGTAGAGCCGTAAGTTTGAACCCAAACAGTTTGCCCCTCACTAATGATGCCCTGTATTCTCATAATGATGAATGGCATTCTTACTATATTATAATCAGTGTCAGAATGTTTGATACTGTTGGCTAGATTTAGAGTTTTTCATTCTTTGGCCATTAATTATAGATAGGAAATTTAAACTGCTTCATGTGGTGATAGATCTAGTAATGGCTTTTTAGCACCTTATCTAACCTGTGACTCTACTTCCTTGTTTTTTGCTTGTTACTTTGATTTGCTTTTAGTGTAAAAATAGTAACTCACTATTTATAAAAGAAATTACCTAATACAGAAATATATAAATTAGCTAAAATGTCTCTTTGGGTGTGCACTCCCTATTCTCCTCTCCAGGACAAACTATCATGAACTGTTTCTTGTATAATGTTTAAGACTAAGAGCTAAACTAGTGAATACTGTGTATGCACACATAACTACAGAGGATTTTTTTTTTTTTTTGAAGACTTTTTGCTATAAGGTATGCATGCTTGGCCTGGGATCTTAGGCATGAGTTTCAAGATGCTGGATCCGGAACTCAAACCAGTGTTGGCCATGTGGGAGTCCAGCAATGTAACCATTACGCCATCTGCTGGTCCCCAGAGGTTGTTTTAAAGATACGAATGTGGGCACTGCAGGTGGTGTGATGGTTAAGGCCCTGGGCTCTCACACGGCTGACCATGGTTCAAGTCTTAGACCTGGCAACCTGAAAATCTCGCCAACCATGTGTACATATGTTCCCAAAATTCAAAAAGAAGAATGGAGAAAGAATTGCAGCCATGGCCATTCCCACTGGGATGTGATTTCTCACTTTCCCTCTCACCGTCTTTCTCTGGTGATGCATGTGCCCTCCCTCCTTCCAACGAGTTGATTTTTCATTTTCTCTCACTGCCTCTCTGTTGCGTTCTGGGAAGCACACATAACCTATGAGAGAAATGCAATTATGCTGAATCTTTTTTGTGACTGTGATTTTACTTAATGTTTTATGAATGTGTGTGTGTGTGTGTGTGTGTGTGTGTGTGTGTGTGTGTGTGTGTATGTTGACTCGACAGCATGTGTTTTTCTTTTTCGAGAAATTTTTGCTATAGGGTACAGAGAGGCAGAGAGACAGAAAACAAAAAATCACCTCCTAGGGGAATGGCCATGCCACAATCCCTTTTCCTCCAATCTCCAATCCTGGGGATTTTGGGCACGCTTGCCCACACGCCCAGTGTGAGTTTTAAGCCGCTGGATCTGGGACTTGAACTGTGGTCGACTACATGGGAGTCCAGCAACTTAACCGTTAAACTATCTGCTGGTCCCCAGTGTGTATTTTTCTACATAATCATTTCTACATCATTTTCTAATTAATTTTACCAGTCCTTGATCATGGCTATTTAACCAGTGTTTTG